CATACTGTGCTGGAAATGTATTTTATTTGGATCTCAGAACAACAGCAGAATGAGGGAAAAGTTGATGGGCTTTTATCTGCATGATGTTTTTATTGCAGGCATTTTACTCATCCTAGTCTGCAAACATCTTCTTCCAAAATATTTTCATTAAAATATTAAAATATTTATTTCCTTACAAATGGTCAGCCTGGAGACTGCACAGGGCATTCTGTTACTTTAAATTCTATTAAACATAATAAACAAAAATAGGTTTAGTCTAAACAGGAAGTCCAGAGTCTCATGGCCTTCATGAAATGTAAAATATGCTGCTTATTTCTGATTTTTTTCCATGTATTTAACCAAAGTATAACAAAAAACCAACTAGACTAGTAATGCCTGAAGCATAACATAAAAGCCTAGCAAAAAAACTTTTTGATGAGTTCTTTGTTTCTGACATGCAAAATGAGCCACGTATTAGAAAGGATGAGAGTTTGAGTGAAAGCCAAAGAGCTACATACTACAGAGTTTCCATTCTGGCTTTGATATTGGCTCTGTGATCGTGGGCAAGTCATCAGCCTCTATGATTCCATTTGCCCATGTGCAAAATGGAAATAGTACAACCTAACTCACAGGGTTTGTGAGGAATAAATACAGAGTGATCTCATGTTCCTTCCATAAGTCTCCACAACAGAACAGTGTGTTTGCAAAGCATTTTGAGGACAAGAAGCATTTTATGCGATTGCAAAGCATTATTATAATTATTACTACTTCTTACATAGCTTTAACAAAACAAAATTAATTTTGCTACTGGTAAATTTATATGAATCTAATTTACTTCAAGAAATTTGTTTAAGCAGCACAGATAGATGTTAGGCATAGCATTTGAAATGTCCCTTCCTGATTAATTGCAACATCTTGATTATCCAGAGCAAAAATGTTATGACACACTTTGTGGATGAGACATCTTACTTTTAAGGTTTCCTGCAGGAAAAACCATAATCCTGCAAAACACATAGCTCAGTTCTAAGTTTAAGATTGCATCTGGCATACAGTACACTACTTGACAAAAGCACTATTAACTGATCAACGGTGAATTTAATTTTTACATTTGTCAAAATAAAATCAAGGGTGTAGGAGCAACTTCATTCATGGTGTCTGAAACCCTTGGGTATTAGAAGTTCACCCTATCCCATTTTAGAGTTGTGCCTCATGACGTAACATTAAAATCAACCTGTGGGATCCATTCTAGTAATATTCTGAGTGCTCTTAACTTTGGCAGCTAGCAGTTGAGAATTATTATAGTGCTGTGTTTAAGCCAATGTTACATATATCTACAGAATACATGTAATCACAAGCCTCAAGATTGTGCAAAGAATAACTGATATATCCTAAAATACCTCCCCCTAATGGTAAGATAATGTTCCTTCTTGCTTAATTTACTAGCTGGATATACTGACCTATTGCATTGGTAAAGAATCACTGGTATTAGAATAATTATACCTATTCCTTTGTTAAACATGGTGGCTATTAGCCTGGATTCCGATATATTTTCCCTGTCCAGGATGGAAAAATCTAAGTACTGTATTAGCCAGACATGCTATAGGTGTCCCCAATTCCACAGATCAGGACTTGATTTTCTGTTGCCCGGCACCTTGAACAGTCATTTACATCAGTGGAAAGTAGATGTAAAAATGCTACCAATTCTCTCTCTCTCTTTCACTCACTCTCTCTCACACACACACACACACACACACACAAAAATCTGTCCCCATAAGCAAAAGTAACCATCCCAGTACTATACTACCATTGATCATCTTTAAACACTGCTGTTGCCAATGTGGATAGACCCACATGACTCTCCTTTAATCCAAAGTTAGACCTGTGTTAAAATACACAAAATAAAACCCCCACCCCAGAAAGAATTAATTGTTTGGTATATATTTATTCTGGGTTTGCTTATTTTAAAAGTTTTTATTTAAAAAAACAGCCACAAATTGTTACGGTCAAGATTTTAAAATTGGATCCTAAGAGTCGAGGGAGGGGGGTACTATGAATTTATGAAAATTTGGTCATTCTTTCAGGAGCCCAGATGAGGATTCAGGAGTTCTTTAGGTTTTGGAAGTTTTTATTACCTAAATATGTATAATTGCTGGCTGGGTGAGGTTGTTGTAAGAAAAGAGT